TCCAATAGCTTTCTGCAATGCTCAAGAAACCTTTTTGGTGGCATTCGTCACTTTTACGTGACAGCTCTTGTTTAAAGCTATTATTGAACACTACAAATCTTTCATAAATATAGGTAAACCTTCTTATAAAATATACTTCAATTTTAACTTTAATTAAACCTTTTCTGTATTTGAGTTTCACATATTGATTTTTTAGATTTCACACAAGAATTAATTTCTATAAATGTTTTAAACGACCTTGACCCTGAACGTTTGACTTATCAATAATTGTGTAGATGATTTGTTTTTTTTATTATTTCAAATATATCAGAGAAATACAGACGTAAATTATATACTTTATTACCTCAGTTGATTGAAGCCATATTCTAAACTTCACGCATTAAAACAATGCGTCACTCGATAGATTCCATATTGGCAGTAACTTTTCAATAATTCATGTGTATGCATAAATTCAGCAAAAACGATTCGCGTGCCAAAAACAAGATAGACTTTTCATAAAATTCCCCACCCACCAAAAAACAACAGTGTCTTTTTTATGATGACATATCATTTGTATCTTTTTATAGATATATGTATTGCTATAAATAAATTCGAAAAACTTACTTGAGAACAGTTCCTATATACGCTTCCAATTTTATAAAATGTTCAAGCAGACGGAATACTGTTTTACCACGAGCCAGCAGACATGTAAATGATCGATTCTTTATTGACTGCGAATAGAAATTTCCAGCATCTGAACCAGTAAATTACGGAATCTTTCTTCAAATTCCAATACACGATACAGCATGACTATATTATTCCGTAGATTACAGTTATTATGTGCTTTATTTTGGTTTTAATACCATTTATTCTCAAAGACTTATATTTCAATACAAAAAAGATACAAGCAGAGAGGGCCCGGTAGTTTTATTATCAAATTTACACATAATTGTCAAATGACGCGGAACATCGAACAAGTAATGGTTTCTTTATACAAAATACAAGTAACATGTATCACTTTCTGTGATGATATTATAATATTTGATTTAGAAAGTCCTTATTTTGCCTTACAACGAGATACTAATGTATATTTATACTAAAATGAACTTTCCCAATTACCGTTTAGTCCGCAAGTTTCTAAATCGGTCAATTCAAACAGTGTCGCAATAGAATATTTCGGGCTTTATTTTACTTAGAAAGTGCTAAAAAAAAAGGAGAATACAGTATATGATTCATCAAGAACAGTTGAATCCAGAATTAAGTCTTCAATGTGACTGATATGATTTACTATAGAACAGAGTGCGAAATTTAACTAGGCCGAGACCATCAATAATGTAGAGTTATGTAAACCTGATACTTTTTTCAGAATGCTGTTCAAAATAGTTGTGAATTTTTGGGGGTTTTTTATTATAATTTACAAAATTAATTTTTATAGTAAATTTTAGAAGAGCCGAAAAGTACGGAAGCACAGCGGGAACATGGTAATTTTCCTACAAATAATAAAATTTCTGTTCTGTTCTGTTCCTACAATATCATTTGTCTCCACAAGGAATAAACTAACAGATTTTGCTTATTTGTTGCAACGAGTTAATCATAATTCAGAAAAAGAAAATGAATAAATGCAGGGCCACGCAATAACATTTTTAAGGGCACGATCATGTAATGAATATTAAATGTTGATTGTGAAAGCCAATAGTTCACCCAGGAGGACGTATGTGTTTCGAAAAGTTGTTTGTATTACATAGAACATGTATGTAATTAAAGGTCGACATTGTTATCTATATTGTATAGTTTTTCTCCTTGAAAACTTCCGGATTTTACAAGAAACTTGCTATGTTATAATATATGTTTGTTAATGGGCTGGACTGTATAAGTAAATTTTCTACCATTGTTAAACTTATAAACGCTCTGAGCAGACGCTCAGAGCAGACGACAATTTTCAAAATGCTGTAGTCTGCTACATAATCCCTGAGAAATTTTTAAACAATATTTGCTGATCAATAAAATCACGCGGATGTTATATGAATATGATACGGTGAGAAATATTTCATCCAAAACACGTTAGTGCCAATAATTTCATACGAATGAATTAATCAAATACCTGGCCAAGGAAGCAATCTGAGATATGGTAATAATATTGAACTCGATTCATTATTGTGTCGTGTTATTTGAAGCTGTTTGCTATAATTTCTCGACCAGTCAGACAACTTAAAATGTGGAAAGCTAACTGATATAAACTTTTGATGATTAACGAAACAAAAAACAACCGAGACGAACACTACGTCAAACAGACGCCTACGCTGACCTGCAAATGTAATGAAATCGGTAATTTTCTTCATTATAATTATCTAATAATTGTTTTGCATGATCCTTATTAACTGGTGGTCATATCAACGCTTTATTAGTATCTGTTAGATACGCAAAGGGCGGACATTTGCCGTATTTTTACGATTATATACTTTCTTATATACCCTCGTCGCGTATAAGCCTTTTTCTTGACATATAAGTGTAGGTCTTATACGAGTAACTGTCCCTTTTTAAAAAAAATATTAAAATCCTGTCTTAGATACATATCTATAAGTGACATTATGCTCATATTTTCGTGGTCAAGATGAGCTAAATCGACTTTATATTTCAAAAGATTGACTGTCAAAACAGTTGATATTGGAAAATGTTTAGGATAAAATTATATATCTGTCTAATATTTAGAAAGACTGCCCCACTCTTTTTATAAACTAAGCGTTATAGGTAAATTCTTAAGGATGTTTACAGAAATTTCGTTTGGATCTGTGAGTTACTTATTGTTTATGCGAAATTATTAATTAAATGAAAAGGAATTATGGCAAAATGAAAACTTATTTTGACTTCACCCGTACACTCACTATATACCCCTAAATGGGCATAATGTCACTTAAAAAATGTCGTTATGTTATAGTAGTTATTCATATTTAATACTTTCTCATTACCATACAACAAAATGACGGCAAAGTAGCGCAGTGGACTCAAAATGTTCCATAATGGTATTGTTATCTTCAGTTATCAATTCCCTCACATTTAGACTTTTTATTTTTTTTATTTTTATTTTTGTTATTAAACTTAAAAGGTTATTAAACTTAAAAACGCCCTAAACCGCTCAACCATGCATTCTGGGTAGCATATTAATTTACTTATTTTAAATATTTGTATACTATAAAAGAACATCTATCTGGCCTACCTTACACCTGTGGCACTGTTTCGAAACTGATTAGAGATTACAGTAATACATTTTGTGAATTATAACCTGCAATTTTACTGGAAATAAGCCATCAAGGATATATAACACTAGTCCCTTTGTTCACAAAATAACTGCGTTTCTGTTCTCTATATTCCCCTTTAATCTATTTACAATAATTTAAATATCCTCCAGTGTAACATACATTGTTTAAGAAACTTTAATGTCTTATAGTATACGAGTATATACATAATACTCTCACTGCGCAAGATAAACCATGCTGGAATATTTTAACTATCCGGTAGAACATGCGTTTGATTGTGATACGTACTTTGTATTAATGAAGTGCCAAGAAAATAAAAGAAACAAAAAACAGGCTGCAAGAATGAGTGATACTTCATTCAATTCTTCATGTTTTTTTTTTAAAGAATTTAAAGCTGTACGCCTCCAGAATAGTGAGCAAAAATATTTCGATAAAATCAAACCTAAGAAAATGTAATAAGATTTTAGGAAAATTATAAAGATTCTAAAATTCTAGTAATAATGTACATGTTCTGTGCGATTAATTATATAATGACCGATTTTTCAGTATTTGTAATTATATTCATTCTGCGCTACCAACGCAGTAAGGGCTGTTTATGCATATTTTGACCTCTTTATGGTTATTAACATGGGTTGTAAGTGAATTGATAATGTGTAAATTGCATTATTTTGGTAACCTCACAATATTATACTGTTAAATACATTTTCAAATTTTAATGAACATTAGCATGAATCTGGAGGCGTGCTGCTTTAAGTTGAACTTATTTCTAATAAGCGTTCATTGATATAGAGCATCAAATTGGCAGAACAGCCTAAGGCATTAAATTATATAAGAAAAGGAAAATTAAACGAAATTGCGTTTACAGGTCAGAGGTATTTTGATGGCTGGGGAACCTTAAATTCATACATTAACTGAATGAATGATAAAATTTACGTTTTACGCTCAAAACAAGCTCTTTTGAACAGAACCACTGATTTTTTGACAAGGTTTTATTAAGAAGCATGTGTATGTTCCCTTAAGCTATCTTATAATTGATCCGTTAGGGTTTTTTTTTCTTATCGGTAAACAAGCAGGTAAAATACTAATTTAATCGTTAACGAAGCATCATATCGTAAAACATGAGTATAAATTTTTGTTTAAAGACCCTTACGAAAAAATGAGGAAAATACTGTTTAAAGATTATTTACAATATACATGTATAATAATTTGCAACATGATTGTAGAAATCTATATTCAACGGAAACCTTCAAGTAAATATAATGATAAATATTAAGTAATCTAATATGCCTTTTTTCCCTTTAATAGACGCATCGACTATGTGTTCACTATTCTCAACAAATTGCATGATGTAAAAATTATGTAGGAAATAAAGCATGAAGCATGAGTCATCATCAAAAATGATCTATTTTGAAATCTATTTGGATTAAGAAAAACATACCGTAATTATGTCAATTGTTATGTATACATGTATGTATCACAACATATTATAAATAAAATGAATAAAAAATAAATAACTGGAAATAAACAATAATGCACATAAATGCATCAAAATATTATTTAATTGTAAATAGATAAAATTGATAAACATATAAAAAAGATAAATCCACAAATAGATAAATAAATAAATAAATAAATAAATAAATAAATAAATAAATAAATAAATAAATAAATAAATAAATAAAGATTTCATACATTTTGAACGGGACGGAGAAGACGCGGGAAAGTATTGACGTTGAAAGCGTGTATATTGACGTTACGTCATTTTACTGAAACAATATGGCGGCGTTGAATCGCAAATAAGTTAAAGATCTAATATAAAAATAAAAATGGCTATGAATCGGACTAACAGACATTTAAGCTCTTCCGAGACGAGAGATCCAAGGCGTCAGCCGGGAACAACGTCTTCCGAACATCAGAAACAAAATAGTGTACAATTAGATCAAAGAAATTTTATGTCACATACAGAATTTCCTGACGTTAGATATGCAGCTAAGATAAGGAATCAAAATCGAAGTGGCAACTCAGTGATTAATTGCGGGGGAATGCAAGAACAATCTATGAAAAAGATAGCAAAATTCAAACCATTTGATCCGAACACCGCTCCTGCTAACTTTAAAAATTGTAACAAGACTTTAAACGTTCTAAATGTCCGGCAACAACAAGAACAACAACAGCAGCAAGAACACCAACAACAACTTAATAACCAAAATTTTATTGAAGGACAGCAGTTTTACAATGGACAAGGCCAACATATTTACCAGTATATACCTCCGCAAGAATTTACTTATAGTACACTTCCTTGTAGGAACATTTACTCGGGAAATATGACACAGTCAGGCCCCTCTGCTACGGCTGTAGCACCAAATGGTGAAAAGATATACATACCACTTGATAACACCAAATACGAAATAAAAAGAAATGACCACGATTTATATGATATGCCTGAAAATTGTGATCTACATATTCTACCGTCCGAGGGTCATTTTGAAAGCAGCGTGCAACTCCATTCTCCAAGACCGATTTGTGTTCGAGGGAGCTTATCTGACGAATGGAGTTGTTCGAGTAACGACGGACCGAACAGTGACACCGACAGTGAGCGTGAGACTGATCCTGACACTGGAACGGATTCCTCTGAAATCGCTTCGTATCTTGTATCGGATGTTCTGAAAACAATAACTGAAAATGTCAATAACTTTTCTCTCCAAACTAATAAGGATGATTTAAATGCGATAGAAGCAGTTTCCATTGAGCAACCAGCTAAAGATGTTTTGTTAAAGAAACAACATCCAGGAAACAGTGGCATTGAGAAATCCCCGGTTAAAAAGCCTCAAACTAACATAATTCATACAGATTTTAAAAATCTTGATAGTTCTAGTTCTGAGTCTGGGAAACCAGTCACTAGTAAACGAGCCAAAGTCGAAACAAAATCAAAACGTTTTGATATGAAAACTAAAAAACCTAGTCAGTTTAAGGAAGAAACAAAGGACAACGGGAAACCAAAAGATAAAAAGTCTCGAGCATGGAAAGAAAACAGAAAGGAAAAACGAGACAAAACTGTTAATAGCTCCAAAAAGGGGCGTAAAACAGAATTGGCAAATGACGTGAGTGAAGTGAAACAGGAAACGCCGTTTTCATTAGATGCGCATGTGCTAAGTAATTGTGCAGCAACTGAAGAAACAGGTAACAACATACTTCCGGTAGAAGCCGAACATATTATCATTGATGGGCAGTACTATTTTCAAAGCCAATACTACAGTGGTCCCCAGTATCAGCATTGCTATAATCCAGACTCAGTTCATCAGGAATGCTATCAGCAATACGAATATTCAGCAACACCGGAATATACGATGTTTATCCACGACGCTTGTCCACCTCCCTCCAAAGATGAAGCGTTTGGTGAAGTGCATAAAAGTTTGTCCGGTGAGGTGATAAACCACCAAGCAGCAGCTTATGGACAACAGGTAATTTTCTTTCTTTCTTTCTTTCTTTCTTTTTTTCTTTTTTTCTTTCTTTCTTTCTTTCTTTCTTTCTTTCTTTCTTTCTTAATTGGTTAGTTAATTAATTAATATCTTTTAATATCTTAAGCATATAAGAGAATATTCATGTCTATCCGAGACATTTGTTTCTTTTTCCTTTCTTTGTTGGTACAAGTTATGTAATTTAAGTTTGTTCAATTTGATTGCAGAATTTTAAAATTTCAAATCATTCGTACTACATTTACTCTGGTACATTTTTCAGCCTAGTAATTCTAAAAACATAATTTCAAACATTATTGTTATTGCCCATTGGAATGTACATTTTGTATTTACAAAATTTAGTGTTTGAAATTATTTTGTCTAATAGGATTGCAGTATTTCTAACGAAACGTTTACCGCATTTGAATAAAGAATCAAAGCCCCTGACACAGCAAACATAATAACATTTGATCAGGCCATGTGGCTTAGAAAATCTCTTGAACACTAAACACTCCAAACAATAATGTTCAAGATGAATAATTACATGTACTAAGAATTACGATATGGTATGAGATCATTCTTTGCACGTGCGCAGATCCTTTATCTTCTAGTAATTTTATATTATACATAGAGTGTATGCTACGTAACTGATTACAACTACGATCTTAGCTATTCAAAATTTCTTTAAAAGAATACATAAATAAAATGTTTGAACAGCGATTGCAATGTTACTGATATACTTAACCAATTTATCAAGATAAAAATTGAACGTCAAAGATATGTATACAGAAAAGATGAGTTTATTATATTCTCCCACTGAATGATTACATATTCAAATAATTAGAGGATATTTTTTCTATAAATACAGGATTTATTTTCATCGAGTGAAATGAAAATAATATTTTCGAGTGGCGGTAGTGAAATATGATAATTTTCGCATCACAAGATGAAAATAAATCCTACTTTTATAGAAAGAAAAAAAAAGAATTTTCTGTTTGTTATATATTTTTTTCTTTTTTATTGACCTAACAACTCTTAAAACCTCTTCTTGAATTGTGTGCATTAGCTGAATTAAAAAAGAAGTAGTCTTGCAAGTCATCAGTGAAAATACAGAAAATTTTATTCACTGAAATGAAAAATAATTTCTTTACACTGAAAATACGGAATTTTATTTCATCAATAGTTCTCAATATTTCTCTTTATTTACATCGAGTGGTATGAAAATTATCATATTTCACTCGTGGCTACCGCCACTCATGAAATATTAATATTCATGAGTGGCGGTAGCCACGAGTGAAATATGATAATTTTCATACTACAAGATGAAAATAAATCCAGTATTCAAAGAAAGAGACTTGAATTTTCTGTTTATTATATACATTTTTCTTTTTTTTGATATCACGATTTGAAAAATTTCCCCTTAAATTTTATGTATTGGCTTAATTTAGAAGATGGTAACCCGGCAAGACACCAGTGAAAATACGGAAAATATGTTTCACTGCGGTGAAAAATAAATGTTTTACAGTGAAAATATGGAAAATGAAAAAAAAAATATCAATATTTCATTTATCAGTATATAATAAATCAAAATATATAGTTTTTACTGCATTAAGCTCAAAGGTAATGTGGGAAAATCTTGTAAACTTCGCATACATTGACCATTAAGTGACCGATTCAGTCTTGATCATCATTCGTTTATTTCTTCAGGTTTTTCGTATTATTTAACAACAAGATTGGCACAAATTCCTGTTGTATATAAAGCGTAATAAAATCGTAAGAATTAATTTATACATTTAAAGTCTTACAGTCGAGTCCAATATCCAACCGTACATATGTCCAATATAAAATTATGCATTTGTAGACTAATATCCGAGCATTCGTTTTAGGCCTGCATCCTTGTTGTTAAGCGTTTACATTTAATTACTGAAACGTCAATGGATGTTTCTTTTGGGACATTATATATTTATAAATACATAGATGATATTCAAGTTTCTCCTATTAATACAGGATTTATTTTCACTGAGTGGTATGAAAATAAATATTTCACGAGTGGCAGTAGCCACGAGTAAAATATGATAACTTTCACACCACAAGATGAAAGTAAAACCTGTTAATAGAGAAATCTTGAATTTTCTGTTTATTATATACTTTTTCTCTTTTTAACCTTATTAAACGGAAGAATTCCCTTTAAATGTTGTTTATTGGCTGAATTTAGAAGAAGGTTGTCCGGTAAGACACCTGTGAAAATACTGAAAATATGTTTCACTGCTGTGAATTTTTTTTACGGAAAATAAAAATACTCATTTTAAAAAAATCATCAATATTTCCCAATGTTTCATTTTAAAGTATATAATTAATTTTTTTATTTAAGTTTCGTGCACATGTATAGACTAGTTTCATTCTCGCGAAATAGTTTGACTTATTCTTACTTGTTATTGAAAATTTATGATTGTATTTCATAGACACTAGGACCAGGATTATGCCAGCAGCCAAATATGGGACAAGTCACACAGATGTATAATAATGCCTATCAAGTTAACGCGGAGCAGATAAATGCCTCTCAAGTTAACGCGGAGCAGATAAACTGTAACGCAGAAGGGTTAGTAGGTCTCAATCAATTTTCAAATTATGGGGCAATGAATGGTTCATCACAAGATTTCTGGGTTACAGATCAAGCGCAGTCAACAGCATATAGTTACATAAACTCTTGTAACGTCACCGATCCAAATGACGAGCAATCAAAAGGTCAAGGTCAGTTATTTATCAGTTATGACGAGGACAGTGTGTATGTTGATCCAGAGAGCGGGTTGTCCTTTCCGGCACTACACATGACTGACGATTTCTTAGTAACAGTCATTCTGCGAGAAGGAGTGTTCCTCGAAATTACTGCCGATAAGGTTTTAAGACTTGTAAATCACGAGAAAAAACTCGTAGTTGCCATTAACGAGACCGGGAACAAATCCTGCATAATTCATCCCGCGGCGAGAATTTACCAATCAGATTCAAACGTACATACTGATCTGTACCTAGGCAGACGAGCTAAGATGACAGAAGAAATGATAATGTTCGGAAATAAATTAAAAACCTACAAATTTGACCATAGAATGGTCACGGAAATGACCGAAGAACCTGTTTTTCGCGACATGTCACACGATGATTCAGTGACGTTTTTGTCGACAAATGACGCCACCGGATATGACGAAATCAAATTGAAAATGGAAGAAATTTTAGCGCATGCTCATTTTTGGAAAAACGGTGAATGCGGAAGCACCACGGTCATTAATGGTACTAAGATAGTTCAAAACGAGAAAGGTGACGTCAGTGTTTACTGCGGACCAATAAATTTTCTTCGTATGAACCCAGAGAAAATGATACTTAGGCTTAAAACAAGGTTTATTGAGGTTGACATTGAGACGAATTGGAATGTGAAAATAACACGAGGATCCCACGCTCTAAACGCTAGTCACATGGGCTTCATTGTTTCCAATGGCAAAGTCAAGGCAAGTTTGGACAGTGATAACAGGTTACAATCATTTACTATGCCAGATCACCGCTTTCTTATGCTAGGCCAGCCAGTTTCCCAACATCGACCAGGGGTACCGGGAGGACAACGTCGTCGGACACCAAACGACAATACTGAACCGGAAGGAGATCATTGGGGCTATACCCGGCATAGCACGTATGATGATCAGAGATGCTTTAGAGAATGGGGGGAAAGGATATATTAAAAATTTTTGAAAAAAATTCAGAAAAAGGGGGGATCCCAAAAGTGGTCGATGGGTGTATCCAGTTGGCAATGGGGCTAGAACAAAACTTTATACCACCCTTGATTAACACAAAAAAAAAAAAAAACTAATAATGAATTTTTATCCCGAAAATTTTAAATTAATAAAATTTTTTTTTTTAATTTGGGTTTTAATAAATAGCATTCATTTTAAATGCCCGTGATTTTTTTACACATCTCTAACAGGGTTTTTTTCCCAAAACTTTAAACTCTATGGGAAGTTTCAGCCTTAGTGGGGAAGGGGACCCCACTTCCCTTGTACCCAAAGGGATATCTCAGTAGAAGCTTCTCAATAACATTTAATTTTGGGGGTTTGGAATTTTAAAACCCCACGGAAGCCAATTTGAGAAAATAAAAAATTTTACAAACGAAAAGTTTAGATTACCAACCAGATAATTGTATGAATATAAAATAATTTCTGTACTTTTTACATGATGGTATCAACTTTTTTTCCGGCGATCATGTAGCGTTTGAGCATTTATTTGCTTAAACCAAACTGTTACCGCCATTAAATAGATCGTGTTTACCTTCTTCTTCACTATGTCTGGTATAAGTCATGTAGGCATTAACGTTTCAATTCTGTTTTTAATTGCGGGAGATTTTAATGGATTTATGCATTTCATCCATCATATGTTTGTGTAGTTTTGTCCTTTACAATTATCTGTATAAAGTATAACAAAAATGTTGATTGTGTTAAGTGTGTAAATGATTTTTTTTCTTCTTCAAGATAACAACAATAAAAATAATCCAACAAACAAACACACTTACAGATAAACGAAATTCCATGTGAGATTTATATTTTGTTCACATTATTCAAATAACAAAAGACAATGCATTAACTTGATAATTTTCTACATCAGAATAAATTTAAATACATGTATAGGAAACACATTTGATTTAAGTTTCAAGATATGTTTACACTGTTGATTTTACACGTTCTTATAATTATTTCAAACATTGAACACATAATAATAGAAACTTAAGGTTTTATTTTTTGTTATTTTATTTAATGACGCATAAAACATGCTTGGTCCGACATGCACGAATAATAAGATACCTTTAATGTTGCTCCATGTGCACATGTACATTATTGAATCATCAATATCATATATATATATAAATCATATATATCAAATAGTTTAAATATATAATTACGATTTGTAGTTTACACTTTATAATCATACAAACCTTTACCGAAAATTAAACTAAAGGTTTGATGATATGTAACAAATTGAAACAAACATGCTCATAGTTGAAAAAATTAATGAAACTCATTCAACTACGGATAACTACAGCACGGTCTTCATATCATTAAGGAATATAAGCATGATTACCATAGAATAGCCTTCATACATACATGTATTTCTTTAAAAAGCTAACAAACTTAAGATAATTTGGCACTGGAATTTCTTAAGTTGATTTAACACGGTTTCTGTCAAGGTTCCGCCTAATTCGTAGTTTAAATGGTTAAAAGCTATTCGTTGGTTTATAGAAATATATCAGTGAAATATAAAACTGATATTTTCACTGTTTGAAACAGTTAAATTATGAATTTGGTAATTTCACTGTTTTGAATTTAAGCCCCCCTACGTTGTTTCAGTGAAATACCTGCGTGCACAGAACTGGGTACCAACTTAATGACGTGACGTCGTAAATGACGTCACGTTGTATTATTATTTGGCGCGCTTTTCATAAAGTATTATGTTGAAATGTCTTCTTAAACGTTTCGTTGCATATAATAAAAAATGTTTAGTTTAGTGTTAGATCGAAATATGTTTAACCTCGTGAACATCGTGCGCCACTCGTGAAATATACCTTTTGGTGCTCACTTGGTGAAATATATTCCGATCTTACACTGAACTTTACAAATAGCCTCTATATCTTATGAAATGTTTATATAAAATTATCGAAAAAAAAAGGTTTTGTTTCCGGTTTTTGAAAAAAGATGCTCAGTTTGCCTTTATTTATTAACACGCTATTAAACAGAACAAGCTATTATGCTGCTTTTTAAGTAAGGTTTTAACCGTTTAGTTGCTTATAATCATACAAGCATGTTAGATTCGCTTTTTAGAATTCAATCGAAGCAGATACACTTTAAGCACTTTTTTCTTCTATGTAAACAAATAAAACATACTGTAACCCGTAGATAGCAGATTAAATTAAACAAAATATTTTAGTCTGAAGACAATTAAGTTTTTTAATTATTTAAATTTCTGGGCGTCGTTTCTTCTTTCTCCTTATAGGGGGCAGATGCCGTTGATGTAAGGTGACTGCATCACTAAGATGGTCCTCTCTATCGTCGCCGTCGTCTGTAATTTTGATTTCCGGTTTTTTAGTTGTCATCCATTGATGCGGATAATTAACTGAAATGATATGTTAATGTTTGTCTAAAAACGACCCGTCTGTTCTTATATAAAAGAAAAAAGAAAAAAACAAGGACAAGGAAGCACATGTTTTTCAAATACGTTTAAATAAAAAGTATGTGTTCAATAATCAATCAATCAACAAGTTAATCAATCGATTTATGAATCAATAAATCAATCAATCAATCAATAATATTACCTGAATTACTGGCTGTATCTGAAAATATGTCAACTCCTTTTGCTTGTTGATTAGCAAAACCCGACCAGTACTTTTCGACATCAGCGCGCGTGCGCAGAACGCCTTTTCGTTGTAAATCATCAGCTAATCGTGTAGCTTTACAATATTTGGAAACCGGCAGAGTTTTAAGATAACTTCGGTCGTGAATATATACATGTTTTGGTCCTCTATGGAGGCGCAACTTCTTCCTTTCCTGAAAATAATTAAAACGTCGAACAAACTGATATTAAGTCATGAAATTATTTAAATGAAAACAATTTTTCGATATTTAGATCTTACCTGTTTTGTTGATGGAGATGTAAGGAAATTTATCTCTGAATGTAGTTACATAAATATCTTAAAAAGTGTGCATGTGCGATTTGTCCATTAAAAGCCATTCCCTGAATTTTTCGAAATAGATGTTTCACTCAAGTGGTGGTATGGGAGACTGGTGCAAAATTTTCTTTAAAAAAAAAACCGAAACAACAATACATGTACTCCCCCCCCCCCCCGATTTTTAGCCAAGGTGTCGTCACTGGTATAAATGTTAACATACTGTTTTTGTCTCTTGTGTGGTATATGTATACTGGTATAAATGTGATCAAAAATTAGATGTTACAGTCACGTAGATTGTATGTTTAGACTGATATAAATGTCACCAAAACTGGGTGTTAAAATCACGGTTATTAGACTGGAATAAATGTGAATACACATAATATGTTACAGTCTTGTAGATTGTATGTATAGACTGGTAAAAATGTGACCACACATTAGATGTTACAGTCATGTAGATTGTATGTGTAGACTGGAATAAATGTGACTACACATTAAATGTTACAGTCATGTAGATTGTATGTGTAGAATGGTATAAATGTGACTACACATTAGATGTTACAGTCACGTAGATTGTATGTGTAGACTGGTATAAATGTGACTACATATTAGATGTTACAGTCATGTAGATTGTATGTGTAGACTGGAATAAATGTGACTACACATTAAATGTTACAGTCACGTAGATTGTATGTGTAGACTGGTATAAATGTGACCACACATTAGATGTTACAGTCTTGTAGATTGTATGTGTAGACTGGTATAAATGTGACCACACATTAGATGTTACAGTCACGTAGATTGTATGTGTAGACTGGTATAAATGTGACTACATATTAGATGTTACAGTCATGTAGATTGTATGTGTAGACTGGGTATAAATGTGACTACACATTAGATGTTACAGTCACGTAGATTGTATGTGTAGACTGGTATAAATGTGACTACACATTAAATGTTACAGTCACGTAGATTGTATGTGTAGACTGGTATAAATGTGACCACACATTAGATGTTACAGTCACGTAGATTGTATGTGTAGACTGGTATAAATGTGACTACACATTAGATGTTACAGTCACGTAGATTGTATGTGTAGACTGGTATAAATGTGACTACACATTAAATGTTACAGTCACGTAGATTGTATGTGTAGACTGGTATAAATGTGACCACACATTAGATGTTACAGTCACGTAGATTGTATGTGTAGACTGGTATAAATGTGACTACACATTAGATGTTACAGTCTTGTAGATTGTATGTGTAGACTGGTATAAATGTGACTACACATTAGATGTTACAGTCACGTAGATTGTATGTGTAGACTGGTATAAATGTGACTACACATTAGATGTTACAGTCATGTAGATTGTATGTGTAGACTGGTATAAATGTGACCACACATTAGATGTTACAGTCACGTAGATTGTATGTGTAGACTGGTATAAATGTGACTACACATTAAATGTTACAGTCACGTAGATTGTATGTGTAGACTGGTATAAATGTGACTACACATTAAATGTTACAGTCACGTAGATTGTATGTGTAGACTGGTATAAATGTGACTACACATTAAATGTTACAGTCACGTAGATTGTATGTGTAGACTGGTATAAATGTGACTACACATTAGATGTTACAGTCACGTAGATTGTATGTGTAGACTGGTATAAATGTGACTACACATTAGATGTTACAGTCACGTAGATTGTATATATAGACAGGTATAAATGTGACTACACATTAGATGTTACAGTCACGTAGATTGTATGTGTAGACTGGTATAAATGTGACTACACATTAGATGTTACAGTCACGTAGATTGTATGTGTAGACTGGTATAAATGTGACTACACATTAGATGTTACAGTCATGTAGATTGTATGTGTAGACCGGTATAAATGTGACCACACATTAGATGTTACAGTCACGTAGATTGTATGTGTAGACTGGTATAAATGTGACTACACATTAGATGTTACAGTCACGTAGATTGTATGTGTAGACTGGTATAAATGTGACTACACATTAGATGTTACAGTCACGTAGATTGTATGTGTAGACTGGTATAAATGTGACTACACATTAGATGTTACAGTCTTGTAGATTGTATGTGTAGACTGGTATAAATGTGACTACACATTAAATGTTACAGTCACGTAGATTGTATGTGTAGACTGGTATAAATGTGACTACACATTAGATGTTACAGTCATGTAGATTGTATGTGTAGACTGGTATAAATGTGACTACACATTAGATGTTACAGTCACGTAGATTGTATGTGTAGACTGGTATAAATGTGACCACACATTAGATGTTACAGTCACGTAGATTGTATGTGTAGACTGGCATAAATGTGACCACACATTAAATGTTACAGTCACGTAGATTGTATGTGTAGACTGGTATAAATGTGACTACACATTAGATGTTACAGTCTTGTAGATTGTATGTGTAGACTGGTATAAATGTGACTACACATTAGATGTTACAGTCACGTAGATTGTATGTGTAGACTGGAATAAATGTGACTACACATTAAATGTTACAGTCTTGTAGATTGTATGTGTAGACTGGTATAAATGTGACTACACATTAGATGTTACAGTCACGTAGATTGTATGTGTAGACTGGTATAAATGTGACTACACATTAGATGTTACAGTCACGTAGATTGTATGTGTAGACTGGTATAAATGTGACCACACATTAAATGTTACAGTCACGTAGATTGTATGTGTAGACTGGAATAAATGTGACTACACATTAAATGTTACAGTCTTGTAGATTGTATGTGTAGACTGGTATAAATGTGACTACACATTAGATGTTACAGTCACGTAGATTGTATGTGTAGACTGGTATAAATGTGACTACACATTAGATGTTACAGTCTTGTAGATTGTATGTGTAGACTGGTATAAATGTGACTACACATTAGATGTAACAGTCACGTAGATTGTATGTGTAGACTGGTATAAATGTGACTACACATTAAATGTTACAGTCACGTAGATTGTATGTGTAGACTGGTATAAATGTGACTACACATTAGATGTTACAGTCACGTAGATTGTATGTGTAGACTGGTATAAAAATGTGACTACACATTAAATGTTACAGTCACGTAGATTGTATGTGTAGACTGGTATAAATGTGACCACACATTAGATGTTACAGTCACGTAGATTGTATGTGTAGACTGGTATAAATGTGACCACACATTAAATGTTACAGTCCACGTAGATTGTATGTGTAGAAGGAATAAATGTGACTACACATTAAATGTTACAGTCTTGTAGATTGTATGTGTAGACTGGTATAAATGTGACCACACATTAGATGTTACAGTCACGTAGATTGTATGTGTAGACTGGAATAAATGTGACCACACATTAAATGTTACAGTCTTGTAGATTGTATGTGTAGACTGGTATAAATGTGACTACACATTAGATGTTACAGTCACGTAGATTGTATGTGTAGACTGGTATAAATGTGACTACACATTAGATGTTACAGTCACGTAGATTGTATGTGTAGACTGGTATAAATGTGACTACACATTAAATGTTACAGTCTTGTAGATTGTATGTGTAGACTGGTATAAATGTGACCACACATTAGATGTTACAGTCACGTAGATTGTATGTGTAGACTGGAATAAATGTGACCACACATTAAATGTAACAGTCTTGTAGATTGTATGTGTAGACTGGTATAAATGTGACTACACATTAGATGTTACAGTCACGTAGATTGTATGTGTAGACTGGTATAAATGTGACTACACATTAGATGTTACAGTCACGTAGATTGTATGTGTAGACTGGTATAAATGTGACCACACATTAAATGTTACAGTCACGTAGATTGTATGTGTAGACTGGCATAAATGTGACTACACATTAGATGTTACAGTCTTGTAGATTGTATGTGTAGACTGGTATAAATGTGACTTCACATTAGATGTTACAGTCACGTAGATTGTATGTGTAGACTGGTATAAATGTGACTACACATTAGATGTTACAGTCTTGTAGATTGTATGTGTAGACTGGTAAAAATGTGACTACACATTAGATGTTACAGTCACGTAGATTGTATGTGTAGACTGGTATAAATGTGACCACACATTAGATGTTACAGTCACGTAGATTGTATGTGTAGACTGGTATAAATGTGACCACACATTAGATGTTACAGTCACGTAGATTGTATGTGTAGACTGGCATAAATGTGACCACACATTAAATGTTACAGTCACGTAGATTGTATGTGTAGACTGGTATAAATGTGACTACACATTAGATGTTACAGTCTTGTAGATTGTATGTGTAGACTGGTATAAATGTGACTACACATTAGATGTTACAGTCATGTAGATTGTATGTGTAGACTGGAATAAATGTGACTACACATTAAATGTTACAGTCTTGTAGATTGTATGTGTAGACTGGTATAAATGTGACTACACATTAGATGTTACAGTCACGTAGATTGTATGTGTAGACTGGTATAAATGTGACTACACATTAGATGTTACAGTCACGTAGATTGTATGTGTAGACTGGTATAAATGTGACCACACATTAAATGTTACAGTCACGTAGATTGTATGTGTAGACTGGAATAAATGTGACTACACATTAAATGTTACAGTCTTGTAGATTGTATGTGTAGACTGGTATAAATGTGACTACACATTAGATGTTACAGTCACGTAGATTGTATGTGTAGACTGGTATAAATGTGACTACACATTAGATGTTACAGTCATGTAGATTGTATGTGTAGACTGGTATAAATGTGACTACACATTAGATGTTACAGTCACGTAGATTGTATGTGTAGACTGGTATAAATGTGACCACACATTAGATGTTACAGTCACGTAGATTGTATGTGTAGACTGGTATAAATGTGACTACACATTAAATGTTACAGTCATGTAGATTGTATGTGTAGACTGGTATAAATGTGACTACACATTAGATGTTACAGTCACGTAGATTGTATGTGTAGACTGGTATAAATGTGACTACACATTAGATGTTACAGTCACGTAGATTGTATGTGTAGACTGGAATAAATGTGACTACACATTAGATGTTACAGTCACGTAGATTGTATGTGTAGACTGGTATAAATGTGACTACACATTAGATGTTACAGTCACGTAGATTGTATGTGTAGACTGGTATAATGTGACTACACATTAGATGTTACAGTCACGTAGATTGTATGTGTAGACTGGTATAAATGTGACTACACATTAGATGTTACAGTCACGTAGATTGTATGTGTAGACTGGTATAAATGTGACTACACATTAGATGTTACAGTCACGTAGATTGTATGTGTAGACTGGTATAAATGTGACTACACATTAGATGTTACAGTCACGTAGATTGTATGTGTAGACTGGCATAAATGTGACTACACATTAAATGTTACTGTCACGTAGATTGTATGTGTAGACTGGTATAAATGTGACCACACATTAGATGTTACAGTCACGTAGATTGTATGTGTAGACTGGTATAAATGTGACCACACATTAGATGTTACAGTCACGTAGATTGTATGTGTAGAACTGGTATAAATGTGACTACACATTAAATGTTACAGTCACGTAGATTGTATGTGTAGACTGGTATAAATGTGACCACACATTAGATGTTACAGTCACGTAGATTGTATGTGTAGACTGGCATAAATGTGACCACACATTAAATGTTACAGTCACGTAGATTGTATGTGTAGACTGGTATAAATGTGACTACACATTAAATGTTACAGTCATGTAGATTGTATGTGTAGACTGGTATAAATGTGACTACACATTAAATGTTACAGTCACGTAGATTGTATGTGTAGACTGGTATAAATGTGACTTAAAATTAATTGTTACAGTCACGTAGATTGTATGTGTAGACTGGCATAAATGTGACTACACATTAAATGTTACAGTCACGTAGATTGTATGTGTAGACTGGTATAAATGTGACTACACATTAGATGTTACAGTCACGTAGATTGTATGTGTAGACTGGTATAAATGTGACTACACATTAAATGTTACAGTCACGTAGATTGTATGTGTAGACTGGTATAAATGTGACTACACATTAGATGTTACAGTCACGTAGATTGTATGTGTAGACTGGTATATAATGTGACTACACATTAGATGTTACAGTCACGTAGATTGTATGTGTAGACTGGTATAAATGTGACTACACATTAGATGTTACAGTCACGTAGATTGTATGTGTAGACTGGTATAAATGTGACCACACATTAGATGTTACAGTCATGTACATTGTATGTACAAACCGGAATAAATGTGACCAAAAATTAGATGTTACAGTCACGTAGATTGTATATATAGACAGGTATAAATGTGACCAAAAATTGGATGTTACAGTCACGTAGATTGTATATATAGACAGGTATAAATGTGACCAAAAATTGGATGTTACAGTCACGTAGATTGTATATATAGACAGGTATAAATGTGACCAAAAATTGGATGTTACAGTCACGTAGATTGTATGTGTAGACTGGCATAAATGTGACCACACATTAAATGTTACAGTCACGTAGATTGTATGTGTAGAATGGTATAAATGTGACCACAGATAAGATGTTTCAGTCACGTAGATTGTATATATAGACAGGTATAAATGTGACCACAGATAAGATGTTACAGTCACGTAGATTGTATATCTAGACTGGTATAACTTACCTCTTCTTCTTGTTCTTTAAGTCTTTCTTGAAGAATCTCATTGTATTTTCGCCTTTCGTCTCTCTGTTTTTCCACTTTTTCTTTCATACTGTTAACATACTTGTCAAATTTGTCTAGCTGTTCTTTCGCCACTGCGTCCATACGTATCTGCCGTGACTGCAAAGATAACGAGGATATTATCTATAAGAGTAATTGACTTTCTTCTCATGTCACTGTGAATGCATCTTTGTTTATTCAGTTCAAGAACTGTGACTATCAGAAGGCAGAACCATTAATCTTAACGATTCAGACTGTGTGGAACCATTTCACATTTTCGCAAAAACTAAGAAATGTACCGTTGTAAACATTAACCTCTCCCCACCCCATACCCTGACATTTTACAATTCTATCGTGACACGCAAATGTTTCATTTCAATCAACTTAGAAAAAATATATATTATTTAGTTACACCCTTAAATATATTCAAGTGAAAATGGAAAAGAAAATACTATGACTTAAACAATAGGCGTGTCAATGAAAAATGATCAAATTTTACTTTAAACTGTCTTTATTTTGGGTATGTGATAAATAGGATATTATATTCGCGTATGTTTATTACTGAATTCATGAACTCACTGAATAAAATTATCACACACCAGTGCGGTATTTGCGACGTCGCATGCATATGACCGTGCATTTATTTTGACGTGACGTCATCTGCGTGATACAATATTAGAATTGTAAAGATGCGCTAAATGTTACCGATACACTATATGCGCGTCAATGAAAAGTGATTCTTTTATCTGATAATTCTGTAGATTCAATATTAAAATTATTGAAATCGTTGAATAAAACCATTTCATGCTCGCAAGAGGCTCGCATCATAGGGCGTTATTGAACTCGTTCAATAATCAATTTAATATTGAACAAACGTTCATTCAATATCCTCTATTTTTATGCTAACCAAAGACACGTTTAAAGAATAGTCATTTCTTTCTATAGATATTTATTTTTCAATGAGTGGTTTAAAAATAAATATTTCACAAGTGGCGGTAGCTACAAGTGAAATATACTGGTTTTCATACCACGAAATGTAAATATATCCCGTATCACCAATTTATTTTATGTCGGGTTTGAATATTTTGAACATACCTCGTGTTTCGCACGACTTTCATGTTGCTCCTCCCAATCTGGTCGTTTAGTGACATTTTTTCTTCGTCTTTCTTTTTTCTGCTGTTTCGGTTTCTTTTTTATTTCTTCTAAGTTACTCTTTAAGTAAAAGAAAAGCACAATGGTAATATATTTGGGAAAGGAGAAATAATAATATATTGAGTACAAAGAGTTATGTATTATGTACAATGAGTAATACAATGGCACAAAATGGCGCAAAAATTGACACAAATATACATAGAAATGAGAGAATTAATACACACATACCACCAAATCGCCATATGCCAGTCCAATTACGGCACAGTGCCTAGCAGAACAGTCATGAAAGCAAATCCACCATCACAAAAATGATGGTTTCAGAACAACTTTTTATACAGTCACAAACTGCACTACACATTGAAATAGGCTCAACATTCGCATATATAGTTTGTTCTCTGTTATCATGTATTTTGCTATAGGGTAATATGTTTGGTATTGCCATGTATAGTTATACATATGGCACTAAACGTTATATAATATATAACACAGAGTACTGCACTGGTCCAAAGAACACGATCCTACATTTATCAACAAATATTTTAGATAAAGAGTTAAAATACTGGATATTTTTAAAGATATTGATACTGAAAGCCGATGTGTAACAAATCTGTTTCAAGATTTCAGACACTAAGCCCTATAATATCTATGGTATTATACCAAACAAAATAAGATCTTTTCTAAGTAAAACTTAAAAAATATCAGAAAGAAATTGCAACGATTATATGAGCCTTCACGATGTACTTGAAAACAGTATCAGTACAAGGGAGCTATTATTGAATGTTTCGGTTAAAAGATCGTAGCAGTTATGTACCCTTGTATAACATTCATAACATGTAACTGTCGATCATGTATCCAATCTTTGATAATCCTTTTGGATAATGAAATAATGATAATTTTTAATTGTAAACATAAGCGAACTATAAGTTTAGAATAAAACATGACTGTGTTTTAATTTCATTTAGACTAATATCACTAGTACTTTAAATTTAGGAAAATACCTGCGTCGAAAATAAAAACATTTGATACCACTTATATAAGTCTACTATAATATGATATTGCAACGAATTATAAGATGATAGCGCAAGTAAACGTCAGTAATTTGTTGTTTGGATTAAATTTTAAAATGACATAATTCATAAACTTACATGGAAATTATAGACGTCGTGACCTTTTTTATCAAACGAATACATTGTAACTGAATACCATTTTCAAGAGTACAAAGTCTTTGATTATCATTTGCTGTTACCTTCACAAGGTCTACTACATAAGCTTTCCTATCATGTTCTTTTTTTTGTTTTAACGATGTTGTTAAAAAAAACGAATTCATAATAATGAAAAGAAGAAATAGAGTATTTGATAGGTATAAGAGCATCGAAAGATAAAAATTCTATAAATAAATGCTTTTATCTAATATGCGTGTCGAAACACGATGTGCCAGTCTTGCGACGAACATTTGAAATATCTCTGGCACTATTTTCTGTTATGTGTTCCAAGTAAAAAATCAGTGTTAAAACTTTGGACTTTTGAACAACTAACGGATAGATCGCTTCATATCTAAAGTACTCTACAGGCAATATATATCGGGGTCGACTCCAGAACCCAGAACATTTTGATACATTATTGTGCGTAATATGAAAAACTTGAACGTTGTATGATTTTGATATGGTTTGTGATTTTATTACCTCTTCTCGTATTGGTGTCTGGTACAAACTAAGTAAGTTAGGAAAGCTTGAACTTGACTTTATTTTGATGCTGTGTCTACTTAGCCGGGATAACGGCTGGGTGTGTGAGCGGTAGTCAGAGCTATAACCACTCTGAATGGTCAGAGTGCTCGACATTCCGTCCCCATCAGTTTCATACTGACTTTCATCTTTATGGTGAACCTGGAACAAATATGACAACATTTCATGATTAAATTTAAATTTAAACTCGAAATTAAAGTTGAACGGCTGTTTATAAAAGTATAATATATAACTGCCTTACTGGCTTGCCATTCTTTAGTAGGTCTTAGATATTTTATCAAGATATAACAGAATATTTTAGATAGATAACGGACTGTCAAAACAAATATAAATAAATTCTGTTTATCCTTGATTTCAAAACTCGATACTATTCGTAAATAATATCAAAGCTGCATTCCTCCAGATATGCCAAACTATTTCAAGAAAATCAATCTTAAGAAAAATGTTCTAAGATTTTAAGAAACATAAAAATATTCACAATTCTTGGTTTTGCAGTATTTTTTCGCCATATTTCTACTGCGTGACTAACGCAATAACGGCCATTGTTGCATATTCTGGCTTTTTTGAGTACATTTTTTAGATTTTTAATCGCCGTTTGTAAAATACTTTCTTTTTTCATACTGAAATAATATTTTTTAAAATAGGGTACATTAAAAAAAATCATAAAAGAAATCAAAAAAGGGAAAGCCCCTTGGGTTTTTAGGGAAAAAGCGTTACTTTTTACCCTTTCATCCCAAAGCTATTTAGTTTAAAATTTTGGGTATGATGGGGGAAAAAAATGTAAAATTAAAAAGGTTTTGATAAATTGTAAATGCAGTTTTTGTTTTTTTGTTTGTTTTTGTTTTTTTTGTTTAAAAGCTGAAATTTTTTATTTTTAACATTGCTCTTTTCCATTCAACCCACAGAAAATTCTGTTATTTTTCGGAAACTTTAAAAATTTGGGGATACCCGTAATTAATACTAAAATTTATTTCTTTTTTCTATTCCCAGAACAGAAAAAAATGTTGCTCGGGGAAATTGGGAAAATAAAATGTCTTTGTGGAAATAAACGGACTTTAAAAAGAAAGCTTTTAAAAAATTAAAAAAAAGGTTTTTAAATGCAAAATGGATTTTTAAACTTTTTGAAATTTTTTTTGGGAATTTTTGTTTCTTGTCTGGACTTTAGGCCCAATCAGTGCCCGAAAATAAAACCCTACAGAAAAGACAATTTTTTTAAAATCGGGAAAAAAATTTCCCTCGTTGTAATGGTTTTTGGCCCTAAGTCCCCATATTTCGGGTGAAGAAGGACGCTGTATCAACCTGTTTTTCATTATATAGATGATAGATTTTTTTGTTTAAAGTTGAAACAGAAATTTAAAAAACCCCCGGCGCAGGGTTTTAAAAAAAAGCATTGAATTTAAAAAACGTTTTTTTACACAAATTTTGTAATAACACTTTAAAAATTGACGTATTTCGCTTTTTAAAAAAAATAGTTTTTAAGCGCGCAAATGTTGGGGGGTTACACTGAGGCCGTCTTTAAAAAATTTCCCCTTTTTAAAACAGTTTCGGGTTCTATTTTAAAATTTTGTGTAAATAAAATATTATATTCGGTGTTCAATACAAAAATTTTTTAAACTCGGGGGAATAAAAAAATTTTTATGCTCGCCAGAGGCTCGCATAATATGATTTTATTCAACTCATTCAATAAATTCAGTATTAAACTACACTCATTTAATATCCTCTATCTAATGCATTAGTTGAAATAAAAAAATATTGTAATAAAATCAAAGTGTTTTGTGAACCGTTGATCACGTTGCCATGGTGATCGGCGCTTTGCGAATATTGCTGTTCTCATGTTTTTCATCTTAGAAATATGTAACAAATAAATACTTTAGAAAATTATCAAATCATGATCATCATTGATGTGACTATTAATAATTATTTTATAGCCTTATCAACGAACTTTCCGGACAGTCCTCGTAAGTACATTCTTATACTACCCTTTCCTTCTAACCGATTACTTTTTAATCTGAGATCCCGAATTACGACTGAAATACATTTCCATTTATAATAGTCCCTATGCTACACTGTGTATCTATTCTTCGCTTCGAACTTCGCTTTACTTCACACTTACCTTTAAGCTTGTTGACAAAAACACATGAATAACTCGTAACGCACGTGCACTGTTTATTATGCATTTCCATGGTCGTATAAATTTACTAAAATATTCGCGACAAAAAACATTTTCAACTTTTTACAGAATCAATATTTAGCACACAATTATGATCCAGAATTCAGTGATTGGTGACAGTTCTTTTTCCGTAAACGGCGGCGTTTTAAAATAATGAAAAGACTTTATTTAGATAAACGCTCGTGCTCCATCTCTGATTAACCTGTTTTAGAATACCTTCCTCTCTTTGTAATGTATTCGCGTATATTCTATCAATAAAAACACATTACATTTATACAAGTCACATCAGATCAGTCATACAACAAAGCATTGTGGTAGACTATCGATTAGCAAGACCTTCTGGTGATTGCCTTTTTAAACCCACATCACAGACTGACGTTAAATCGTGAACATTTTCTATAATCTGACAGGAAATACAAACAATGCGGTCTATCAGCAAAACCCGTCTATACAAGAGCTTTAATATCTAAGATCGGATCGTTTCATTTCAATAACAGAGCAATTCCACTAATAAATCACTAGCATGAATAAAACAGTAATGTCATCGGTATACCTCCTGGGTGTCATACCGATAAATGTGTGACATTACGCTTAAAATGTTCGGCAAGTTTCGGTCATTTCCGTGTCTAAATGAAAACTCATTTTTTTTTTGTAAAGGAACATGTTGAAAAATTAGAAAAAAAATATATGTAAGATATTTGTTTGTTTCGGTGTAAGATCAAATTATATTTCACTCGTGAACACAGGCTAGTATCAATTATGATTTGATCTTACATGACAAACAATTTCGCAGATATTTCATTCCGTTTTTGAAATGTCTTAAATTAATCTTACTGATTTTTCTGTGTAACCTTCTGCGCTCTCATTTATGTCGCCATAATATAAATATTAAAGATAATTCAGTATACTATAGTAATCGATTTAAATTTTATTACAATTTAACGGGTTAAATTGTGATTCTATCGTGCATATGATGTTTACAATGGAATGTATATCCTGTTCATTTCATATGATATTATGCTTTTCATGTAAGAAATGCACGAAATGATAAATGGAACATCTAAAATCATGAATGGAACATCTGAAATGATGAAGGTACATATACAACGATGAATGAAACAACTGAAATGCAAATTTGAAACGATAAAAGAAACATGTGAAATGATGAATGTTATGTCTGAAATGACATTTGAAATGATGAATAAAACATCTAAAATGATGAAAGGAACATGTGAAATAAGTAAAGGCAAATCTACTACGATGACAGGAATTGGCGAATGTAATGTCTGAAGTGTCAGATGAAGTGATGAATAAAACATCTGAAATGATAAAAGGCACATCTGAAACGATAAAAGGAACATCTAAACTAGGGAATGGAACACACATCTGAAATAATAAAAAAGCACATCTGAAATAATAAAAGGCACATCAGAAACGATGAAAGGAGCATGTGAAATGATGAATGTAATGTCTGAAGTGACATGTGAAATGATGAATGGAACATCTAAATAATAAAGAGCACATCTTAAATGATGAATGAAACGTCTAAAGGTATTCAGCGTGACAACTTATGTCACGGTTTCATACTGTTTCACTAAGGGGGGGAAAGGGTGTGTGTGGCCGGATAGCTCGTCTGTATGGCGGCGGAAGGTATTCCCGAGGGTTCGGGTTCTAGTCCCGGTTTCGGTGCAACATTTTTTTTCAAAATCATTTTAGTTATTTTAGCTACAAATGGTCTTTATATATGGTTTAGATTTTACGATATAGATATCAATTTTAATCTATACTACTTATGCAGCAAAATTACTTTTTTGTATCTTTTTTCAGTGTTTATCTGATTTAGGTTCTATGATAGGTCCTATGTGTCGAAGCTTATTGAAAGAAAAAACTCATGATGTCATTACCTCTAAATATGTGATTAACGCATGGCAGTACTCTAATAGTTTCATTCAGTATAAACTAAAATTGTAATAAAATTAAACACACATCTGGAAACAAAATTTAATTAAAATTTCAATTAAGAAATACTTACGTAATAATCATAAAGCTGATATTTCCATGATAATATTTTTTAAACTAATTTCTAACTCTCCCACATATGTGCGATATGAATTCAACTTTTGTCTTCCAATAATCCAAAAGTGTGTGCAAAACATGCCGTTCTACATGTACATGTAATTAGAGTTTATAGCGGTTGACTTAAGATTAAAAGGCCTGCGTTTAAGCGAAATAAAAGCGGATTAATACAATCTTTAATATTTTCTTTTTCTTAAGAGGTCACAAGTATTTATTAAACATTAAAGAACAATATGGTATAAAATTACAGAATATCCTATAAATGTACAATGGATTGATTACGGTCAATTTGTCGCAATGAAATCTCAGTTGTAACGGAATACTGCAAAGTTTACGGCAAATTAATTTTAATTATGTCTAATAGAATAAAATCAAGACTAAAGTCATAGACCAGATAATTGTGTGAACAAAACGTTTTCAAAGAGTTGACAGTCCGTTAAAACGAGCGTAAATTTATCATGTAAGTTTAATGCGCTGATAATCTAACTTAAAATACTTTGAGTCGTTGAGTAAAGTAAAGTAAAGTAAAGTAAAGTAAAGTAAAGAAAATAAAGTAAAGTAAAGTAAAGTAAAGTAAAGTAAAGTAAAATAAGGTAAGGTAAGGCAAGGTAAGGTAATGACCCGGTCACATATTCACGGATAACGCCACGGAAGAGCTACGGTCTAATCGTTCACGGATTACTACGGAAATTTGAAATTCCGTTGTCCGCTACGGTTCCGGTACGGAAACACAACGGTATGAGTACGTTAACTAATCTTATTATCACATAAGGGCCAGCGTCCGAGGCTTAGGAGACACTACGTTTCATGTTCACATATATTCCAATTTCACGATCCAATGTTTTGTAAAATATGAAACCTTAAATGTTATTCTATTACTAATGCATTGTAGTACAATATTAATATATTTTATACCTCTATGCATGTCATCAAGCAGCTCGATACTGCCTCCGCATTCTGCGCCATATCAATATACAGTTACAGTCAGTTAATGGCAAATATCTTTTTTTTTGAATGTTCATGATGATGTTCGCAACATGAAAAGGCAAAAATGTCTGTTTTTAACAAAAAGATAGTATTTATACCCTTGAAAAAGTACATGATACTTTATTTATCGTACTAAACAGTGGTGGACCGTACCATTCCGTGCCGTTTTGTGTTGCAACGCAATAAACCGTATAAGACCGTGCTAATCCCTGCCTCCCCGTAGTACAACGTATTACAATCGTGCCATTCCGTGACAATGCCGTATAAATCCGTATTAAAACCGTAGCTAATACGTAGGTTAACCGTACAAATACGTAGTTCTCCGTATTAAACCGTAGAAATCCTTGACAAGTTGGGGCCAACGAATCAGTACGGACTAGTACGGTTTTCGTACGGACCAGTACTTATCAGTACGGTTTAATACGGACTTGAAGGGATACGTTACGATTGATTTTTCCGTAGCAAATGTTTGTGCATGTTCAAAAATTGTCAAGGATCGCTACGGATATACAAGGACTACTACGATTGATTACGGCTACACTACGGAGAGCTACTGACCAGTACGGGTAGCTACGGACGATGCCGGACTTAATCCGTGGCTCTTCCGTGGTCGTATTCCGTGAATATGTGACCGGGGTATAAATTAAAGTAAAATAGAGTGTAGCGGATGATAGAGTACTCACTCACTCACTCACTCACTCACTCACTCACTCACTCACTCACTCATATACAATGTAATTGAAATATTTCACATGAAAATGATCTTATGTTGACATAAATAATGAATATAATTTGTTTGTCTTTTTTATACAAGTAATAAACAATGATTTTAATTTTTTTGCATCTTTTTAATGTCAACATAAGATCATTTTCATCTGAAATATTTCTATTACATTGTACATTGTATATTAAAGTTTCACACAATTTATTACATTTTCCGTCTATGTATAACTCTTTCAGTATTTATATACAAAATGATTCTTATTATTAATTTATGATTTCATTTAAACATTATTAGTATACAGAAAAAAAACAAACAAATAAATAATAAAAAGAAAAAGAAAAAAACAAGAAGAAAAAAAATATTGACAAAAGTAAAATAAGCCCATATTCTATACCGACAGCTTATTCGCCAGCAGTTTAGAACCGTCCACCAGAAGGCGAGAGTCGAGTCGACAATGCGATAACGCGATGACGACAATGCGATGACGACAGTGCGACAATGCGACAGTGCGACAATGCGATGACGACAATATCGCTCTGTCGTCATCGTACTATCGCGTTATCGCATTGTCGCCATCGCACTGTCGCATTGTCGTCATCGCACTGTCGCATTGTCGTTATCGCACTGTCGTATTGTCGTCATCGCACTGTCGCACTCTCGCATTGTCGCCTTCTGTATTTTAACGTATAACCACGATGGCCCTAACGGTATTCCGTAGAAATATTATTACCTGAACCACCTGTTGTTTTAGTTTTCTGCCCAAACGCACATCACAGAAACTCACGCCGTATAGATACCATGATGTTTTACCTTATTAACATGTACGTAATTATTTTTCCCTTTCATTGTAAGATTGAAATACCGACTCAACGATCATTTTTCATAAGTAACGCGGCAATGAGTATAACGCAACTGTTTTATTTGAAAAAAGAAGAAACAAACGGGGGTTAAGATTAAAAAAATGGGTTTAAAAAGATGGTAAATAAAATAAAACTAGATAAATAAAGGATGTAACTCTACTACAAAGAAATCAACAATTTTTCTGTCTATTTCACGCCTTTTCGTAGTTTCTGTATATCTTATCTCTGATATCTTAGACTTTTTTGACCTCATAAAGTCATAATTTCGTCATGTTAAAACATAAATCCACACGTATTTTAGATGAATACATTTCTTTTTGAAAATCCGACTTTAATGTTGAAGTATAATCATGTACTTAAAATTTATATGTACATTTTACTTATAGATTAAGAAATGGCGGGTTTAGCTGAAATTGTCGTTCGTGTATGACACACATGCAATACGCTATGTTTTGACTACAAAGTCAATCTAGCTACAAATAAATCCGATATATTGTAGACGTATTATTTTATTGTCTTTCAGATATGATTAACAAAAAACATGTTCTTAATTAAGATATAACTTCAAACTACACGTTGTTCAAGAAATATCGATAAACACAATTAAATCTCAACCATATTGATGGCAGCTTTTGACTATAACCAACATGTTCGATTGTTTATATTGTAGTACACATTTCACTTTTCTTCAGGAATACCCATGTTCCAAAAGGTTTGTGAGTTAATATCGATGTTGTTGTAAATTTTAATGTTTTGATTAGACAAATTTTCTCCACTCGTTCTATAATAATGATTGGCGTCCGCGCCGAAGCGCGGCGCCCCTTTATGGAATGAAATCAGATTTTGTGAAAGGGCGATAGCAACTTCTCGAGCCTTTTAGTCGGTAATAATAAAAGCCGATCATTCCGATCGGTATGAGGGTGCTTGATTATTATTAATTAAAAATGAAATGTCGCGATATGTACAATTAATAGCGAACTGGAGAATTTCGCAATGCAAACATTTTCAACAATCGCAACTACTCGGCCCTTTCCGTAAGTCTTCGGATAAGGACCTCGAACACAATAGTATGAATACACAGAACGGATGCGGTATTCCGGTCTAACTTACGCTAAGAAACTGAACATGTAAACAAATAGTAATTTAATGCTGGGAGTTTTTGACAAGTTTGTTTCCAATATATGTAGTAAAAGTTCACCTAAAATAAGTGAATTCATAGGTACAATAGCAAACAATACATTATTTATATATTTATTATTATGGCTGAAGAAACCGAAAGTACAAAAAACCAACCTGTTTACATTTAGTCGGATTTGTTTAAAATTGAACATCAGTGGGCATATTTAAATTACAAATTGTTGTCAGACATATTTTCAAGCAGAAGAGTACCGGAAAAGACATTAGATTTCAAATATATGAATTCGTTTTATATTATCTCTGTTTCTGTTTACATCTGTAAATCACGTTGTAGAACTACTTTCAATCCGTATTGTTTCCGAGGTTATTATAGATAATAGCCGAGGCAGTTCCGAGTGACATTTTCAAATGAAATAACCTTTTCTCTTCAGTTTTTTTTTTATTTATCATTTTGTAGTACATAGAATGATAAGTTGATGACCTAAATGTCTACTGTCTACCTAAACATTCCGAAAATCTATTTATAGAAGGATGTACTCCTATCGTTAATTCCCGGTCTCTCCCGGTCTATTTTGACCGATATTTACTAGTGACCGGCGAATAGAAGGGGGCAGGGGACATATTCGAATGATGGCCCCGGTCAAATTTTTTCATAACTAAGACATGGTGTTTTGAAGGTACTGATAACTTCTGATATTTCTCTGTCATTGTAATTCTTTCTTGTTTGTGTGTAGGAAATGAGAAGTATTTTTGGGTTTTTACCCGAAACTAAGCATTTTGGTAGCTTTATATGTATTTCTGACTCTCCGAATGGAGGTGAAAAAGTTAAAAATCAAGCTTTGACAGTTGGCGCCAAACAAGTAAGAAATTTTAGATAAATTTTGTGAAAAATCTAAACGTATGACAGACACTTTATTGGTCATTTCTGAAAATGCCATAGCTTGCACTGCGTGTTACTGATATTTTTTAAGGAATCGGGCGGATTCTGGAGTATGCTGCACCTTCATGAAGATTGCCCATATTGGTATATTTTCGGTGTGATTTTGGCTGGGTGGGGGTAAATATAAATTGCTGTCAGTCATTTTTTGAAGGAGCAATGCATGCAAACTATTATTTTCTTCAATGTATGTCATACATCATTGAATAATGCTGTGCAACTGGTTATCTGCCTGTGAACCAGATTTTGAAATATTTGGAATTGTGTTTCTGGTCACACTGAAATACAAAATTGTTCATTTTTAGGTCCCCTGCCCCCGAATCACACGTTTATTGTCCGGTCTCTCCCGGTTTTGGAGTAGATGTTTGATATCGTTTCAGAAAAGAACCAATTTTTTACAGATAAATAAGCTTTTTTCCAAAATAAATGTTTGTCACTTAGTTTGTAACTCTATATGAGATAAAAACAATAAATATGTACAATAATTGAGCAAAAAGGTACATTTTTATGGTATTAATATGACACTATCAACTTTGAAACATTTTATTTAATTTGTTATTCGTGTTTAGTAAAGATGCCGAGGAATTTTTCAAAGTTACAAATTAGATTTTATGAATTTTACAATGGATTGATATTTTAAAAAATGATAAAGAAAAATACAAATGTACATGTACATGGTTTAAAAATAAACAATATTATATATTGAAAGATTAACCATAATTTACTGACTTTTTCCAGTTAAGTTTTGACTTATAATCGTCGGTCAATATGACAATTGAATTCTTAAAATTTATTTTACAATTTTAATAAAAAAAGAGTAGTAAACGTAAAAAACTCAGTATTAAAATAGCACATAAAACACAAAAAAGAGAGGAAAACAATATTCATAAAATCTGTATTTTTTATAATAAAATAGATATTACAATTATTGTATAATAAACAACATGCTCAACATGATCAACATGGTAATATAACCAGTGTCATATTTTTACTAAGTGTGAACAGATACCTTAAGAGGGGGTCTTCGCTAATAGCGAATAGCGATAACATAATAAGGGACACTTTCTGCATTTCTTGCTTGGACGCCCTTTGATGCTTTGCATTAATGCTTTTCTTGTAATATATATAGAACTTATTTAGAGCAGACGACACATGTAAGTTCGCGTCCGTTCACATATGGTGGACATCGTAACGATCCACAGCGCGCTTCAACAAAATAAAATAGTTTTCCATTTTCATCAGCACTACCACCATTTATGATCTCTGGTTTTGCGTCAAGACAAACAAATTCAGATGATGCTTCGTGACTGTAATGACCACTCGATAGGTAACCTTCATATTCCAATGTCCATCCATCATAGCATTTATTCCGGCCTGGGATCATTAGAATGCTTGCCCTGTTCGTACGACATACACAACATGGAACGTTATGATCTGCCACTCCTTTTCCGAAGAAATTATTCATATTTCTACCATACAATTCATATTCTGCTCCATAGACAGTGCTTGCAGTCTGCTCAGCGTCTTCGTATACATTCCACAACGGTTGTTCCGGTAGACATAAATAGTTGGCGGAAGCTCCTTTATTATTAAAGTGGGAACCACCAGCGTAACCTTTGTAAACCAACTCTGTTCCATTTTCTGGACATTGTGTTCTTCCCCAACGCACGTACGTATTTCCCGATCGAAGAACTGAAGTAGCTGTTTCAACTTCTTTTATCTTTTCCTCAATGTTTGCCAGCAATAACTTCTCCTGCCTGCTTCCGTCTGGAAACATTTAATATTTTAATTTTTGTTTTCTTTTAAAGATATACTATGCTCAAATTTGATTTTTAAAGATATTGATAATTGCTACAAAGTCTCTTTGTATGTATAAAATAAACAGGTTTCGGCTTAATTTAAAGTAGATATGTTATGTTTTGAACTCTACACACTACAGGTGGTCACAATATGAATATATAGTGTCATTAAAAAAAACTGGCAGTTTTCTTTAAAGAAAATACCAACTTTAATTGACCCGTAATAAGGAATGCTGCTTCCCATACATAGTTTCTTCATTATTTAATTCAAATTTAACATATTCAGTAAGAATTTCATTGATTTCAATACATTTCTAAGATAAAAATATTTTACACAAAGATGAGCATAGTATATCTTTAAGTTTTTAAGGAATTATTTTTGTTAATCGTGTGTTTGACATTTAAAAGTTATTCTTGAATTTTGTGAGACTATATCATTCAGATGCAGTTTAGTAGTAAAAGTCATAGGTACAGTCATAATACATGTAGATTAAACACAAAATGATAAATCATGTACGTTTATATATTCATATTATACACACACTAGGACAATCTTTTGAATGCCAAAAGTACCACAGTTATGATACTCAACATTTCGAAAACACTACGTGACAATTGACAAAAATAGTTTTATTGAAAGATTTACCATGCTCATCATTGATTAAAATTTATTCACGGAACTTTATTGAAATGTATGAAATTCTTTCTGAATATGTCTCCATATAATAAAATGATGAATAAACTATGCATGGGAAGTAAAGTAAAGTCAAGTTGGTCACGCCAATACTGGTTGCGGACTTGAAAGTAATTAATTAAATTTTTTTTAGTTCTGTTATGATATTTTAATAGAGCAAAATGCCATAAGGAGGAACAAAACGCAACAACGTTTTTGCGCACGAGTTTAAGTAGGTAAATCAAAAGTCAAAAAAAAAAAAAAAAAAAAAAAAAAAAAAAAATAATAATAACAAGGATATCCAATCTAGAAATTATAATTAAAAATAACAAACTTATTATGAGTGATATATATGCCGGTTTCTTACCTGTTTGTTTTGATAACGTTGTCTTTATCTCCTCTAAAGCAATCTTAGTATTTCTCTGTTCTATTTCCAACATGACCATTTTCTGTAACATTTTATGATCATAGTCAAATCTTGAAGTACAAACCGGCTCTTCCTGGCTTGCCAAAAGTGTCCTTCCAAACAATACAAGTCCAAACACAAAACATAAAATCATCTTTACTTTTATATAATTATATAAAGAGAGTCTATTGTTATGAAAGTATATAGTTGCTAAGTATTTATTCAGTAAGTATGAAATGATTCGGCCTTTATAAGCATTTATATTTAACAATAAAGATAATAAATATTCATAGAGAATCATTTAGTGATTATTTTGCCAACACTGAAATATAAAACGCCTATTTATTATCAGAATAGAATTATGTATCGTGATGGAATGTGCGTGGGGTGATTGCTAAGTTCGTGTAATCGCTTAGTTATATAAACCCCGGATTAAAAAAAAAAAAACATCGCGAAATACGTTCGACTGTGTGAAATAACAGCGTGTTCATGTCACCATACAGTGATTGATAATGTCGGTCAAAGCACAGGTGGCAGTATCATTGTTTGGACACCCCACCCCTATCTGCCCCTGGACCCCTACTACAACCCTGAAAAAAAATAATTCAACATTCTAAGGCTTCCTATAAGGTACCAAATACAAAACCATCGATGAAATTAAATAATAATAAAAAAACTCCACTATCAAAATTATAGTTATAGAAAGGTGAAAAGCCTACTAACAATATTCAAACGGAAATGGCCAATCGGCTCGAACTCGTCGAGGCTGAAAACACTACATTGCGAAAAAGGGTCACTCAACTGGAAAATGATGCGGATCGTGCCCAGCAATATAGCCGACGCAACTGTCTGCGTGTATCAGGCCTGCCAGAAAAACCGGGAGAAAATACCGATTCACTTATACTGGACATGGCAAATACTATTGGCTCGAATCTTGCCTTAGACGAAATTGATCGAAGTCACAGGGTTGGAACACCGAAGGCCCATGAAACACGTCCTAGAGACATTATTGTTAAATTCGTCTCATATAGAGCTCGACAAAAACTTTACTCTAAAAGAGCTTCACTTAAATCAAAAGGGTATAAGAATTCCTATATTAATGAAGATCTTACAAAAAAGCGAAGCTCACTACTCTTCGAAGCACGACAGCTGGTCAAGCATAAGTCGATACTTAGCACGTGGTCTTCTGATGGTACTATCCTGGCTAAAGATAAATTCAATCAAGTGCACGTGATAAACTCAGAAGAGGATCTAGCGCACATTAAGACACATACATATGCAGAAGTGGTTCTAACCTCGGGAACTTCTGGCAGTTAATAATGTAACTCATATTATGAGAGTTCATTAAGACAACATTCATGTATATACTAAAATACTCATTGATATGCTACTTTAATAACTGTTATTTGTCATACAATTTACATTCAGTGATTAGAACATGATATAACAGTCGTTGTTGTTGTTTTATTGCATGTAGTAATATTGAGAAATGTGAAGACTGTTATATGTGCTACATTGTTATATGAATTATATAACCTTATTTCATACGATTTACGGTCTATAACATCTGTGATCTACTGTAATACTTTAGTGTTAGTAGTTTGTATTGAATCATAACATACTTTTTCGACCTACTTATTGTAGGCAAATAACTTAAACGGGAAAACTTTAACAATTTAACGGTACTTATGATTTGACTGATCACATATCACGGTTTTTTTCGTTTCTTAATGTATCGGACTGTTATATATATCTTCATGATCTAAATTCTTGCTCTTCGCGCGTAATAATTTATGACATTATGTCTGTAAAACATTCCACAAAGTAATTGATATATTATCTTAGTAGAACAATTTTATTTATTATTATCTGTAACAAATACATTGTATACCTATACCATTAACATTACCAGGTCTCGCTTCTCTTTTTTAAAAATCTAATAAATTATGATAGATAGTTGATTATTAAATCTTATCAAATTAAAATAAATATTGTATATCTCTATCATCAAGTACTACCGCGGCTTCAGATAGTCGAATATGCCCGTTGTTGTGTTTTCATGCGTTATTTGACATGTTGACATCAACGTTATAATAATTATAATACTCAAGTAATATCAATCTCTCTTTTTATAATAATTAAAGTGCATAGTATATAATTGATCGATATTTAATAGTTCAATGAAGAATAGTCATTAAGTTTATCAGAATTGGCACTCGCCTAAGTTAAATTGTATAAACTTATTTAAAGAGATGTTTTATTACTGAAAATACTTTTGTTTTCCATAGTATGCTATTTCTGTTTATGTTCTTGTATAATTAATACACTTGTAATTTTACCTTGGTAGCCGATATATACCTGCATTACTTTGAATGTATATTAACTATGATTGTAAGTATAATTAATGTGTAAATATTTATGTGCTTATAGGTCATTTTGCGTTTATACTAGAACAAATGTACTACTGACAAATTATGGACTTCTTTGCTGATATTAATGCGTTTATCCAATACTTGTGTTTTTGCCTTATTATGCAAATGGATTTAATCATTATATTTCCCCTTCTCTTTTTTATATTCTTTATATAGGAAGATAAAATCTTACTGCACACACATCATTATAATAAAGTTTACAGTCATAATGAACACTGTTTAATTCGATAATTTGCTTAATTATATATTTCACATACATGTATAACATTGTAAAAGTTAATATATATTTTTCTTTTTTTCTTCACTATCCTTGAAGATCAGTGTAGCAGTCATGACATTCATAGAAATCTTGCATATTTGTAAATATTTGTTGATTACAACTTACCAATTATTATCATTTCTCCTTTCAACAATTACATAATGGAGTGTACTTTTGTTTTCTGGAACAGAAACCTGTTAGTAGAATCAAGATTTTGCCGTTTTCACTTTTTACTCTTAACAATTTGGTTGCTTCTTAATAATCCTGTATATTGCTTGTCTTTTAGTCAATATTTCGAAGTCAACGCTAGTCGTCTCCGTTCATTGAAAGGACTGACTAAAACATATTCTGTAAAGTCTAGGGCATTCTATAGAAATCTTTCATTTTCCAAAAACGTAGCTATTGTTTTCACTGTTTGTTTAATAATATCGTGGTCAACAATTTTCCTTTTACAGTGTGGAGACGTTCATCCGCATCCAGGGCCTGATAACTCATTTTCACATGCATCACTTGATATTTCACATAACTTGTCCATTCTTCATTACAATGTTCAGAGTCTTTTACCCAAAATTGATATTATCAATACAGAGTTCGATTCTTTTAACTTATTATCTTTAAGCGAAACATGGTTACATTCATCTGTAAGCACAAGAATAACTTTCATATTCCCGAGCGCAGAGACATGACAAATATGGTGATGTTATATTATACGTCAAAGAAAATGTAGCGTTTGTCCGAAGGCATGACTTAGAATTCTTTGATGTTGAATGTATTTGGATTGAACTTATTCTAAAGCGGAACCTTAAAATGCTTATTGGACTCTTCTACCGCCCACCAAACTCTGATGCCCAATATGACCTTAAAATTGAACAATCTTTCGACCTTGCACTTAATTCTGGTATTCAAAACATTACAATTAGTGGCGACTTTAACCTCAATCCTGCCATTCCCGCATCCAAGCGAAAACTTTTACACCTTTGTAACCAATTTGGGCTTGCTCAATGTATCAATGATCCAACTCACTTCACTGAAACGTCTTCATCCGTCATAGATCTTATTTTTTTAAAAAAACATACGTAGTTTGGTACTTAGTGGCGTTGGTGAACCAGTTTTCGATCAGCAAATTCGTTATCATTGTCCCACTTTTGCACTTTTTAAATTTACTAAACCAAAATGTCAGACTCACTCCCGTCAAATATGGCTGTACGACCGAGGAGATTATAATGCATTGAGATACTCTTTAGAACAATTTGATTGGCAGACCATTCGTAACACTGATATTGACCAATGGGTCTCTGCATTTACATTTACCATATTTAAATTTTGTAACCAATATATTCCTAATAGGTTAATCACTATCAGACCCACAGAACCACAGTGGATATCAGGTGAAATTAAACGACTTATACGCAAACGCAAGCGTCTTTTCAAACAAGCTAAGCTCCATAATCGAACTTCGGACTGGTCGAAATTCCGCCAACTTAGAAATAAAATAGTTTCCCTTATTAGAGATGTTAAATCAGAATATACAGCCAAATTAACCCAGACTCTCACTTATAAAACATCTAATAAATCATGGTGGGCCACAGTTAAAATGTTTATCTCCCCTAATAGTCAAATAAGATCTATTCCTCCACTGCTCAATGACTCAAATATTCTATATGACAACGAGGAAAAGGCGGACGCCTTCAATCGTTTCTTCGCTCAACAAACATTTCTTGACGAACCTGATTGGCAACCCATTCCACCAATTTATTCTTTCTCCTCAACTCTATCATCACTTCACTTTGAACCATCTGATATCGAACCATTATTACGAACACTACCACTTGGGAAAGCAGTTGGTCCTGATTTAATAAACAATCGCGTTTTAAAAAAGAAATATCGTCTCAATTAGCTGTTCCTTTATCAGATATTTTCAATTATTCTCTGTCTATCGGTACTTTTCATACTCAATGGAAGGTTGCAAACGTATGTCCAGTTCATAAAAAGAATGAGACCAATGTAATTAGTAATTATAGACCAATTTCACTTCTCTGTTCCCTAGGCAAAGTTTTAGAAAAAGCTGTTTACAAACACGTATATAATCATCTAATTAGCAACAACATTTTAACAGAATATCAGTCTGGTTTCCGCCAAGGCGACTCAACTATAAACCAACTATCAGTAATTTATAATTCTTTCTGTGAAGCAATAGACAATGGAAAGGAAATTAGAATTGTATTTTGTGATATAAGCAAAGCTTTTGATCGGGTATGGCACAAAGGACTCATAACTAAATTGTCATCTGCTGGAATTCGTGGAGATTTACTTCTTTGGTTTCAAAGCTACTTATTCAATAGGCAGCAAAGAGTCACTGTCCAAGGATCATCATCTTCTCTTCTTTACGTCAAGGCTGGTGTTCCTCAAGGATCCATTCTCGGTCCACTGCTTTTCCTTATATTTATTAACGACATTGTAATAGATATCGACGCCAACATCAGACTTTTTGCAGATGACACAAGTTTATCCCTTATCGTTAATACACCCGAAATAACAGCAAATGTACTAAACTCTGATTTACAAAAGATTAACCAATG